AAGTGCAGGATGGGAGCTCGACACACTAACCACTCGGCTACACTGCCACAAGCGCCTTTTGGGTCACAAGGCAAATGGCCATTTTCAAGGAACAACTTTTGGGAAAAGCAAGGCTATGTGGAATTCACGGGAAATATCAGCACTTTTTAACCCGAAAGAAGAGAGGAAGTCTCGTGGATTGCGTCAACCTGAATATCGTATAAAAGCCAAACGATTGCAGTACAGCGAGTTTCATCCGTCCTCATCTTGTGAGATCGACCAACGAATCTCTTCTTCAGGCACTTTCATTCGAAATAAAGGTCCACCTAACAATGTTATCTCAGGAGATTCATCGAAACCAACTTTCTCTTCGAATATATCTCATATTAGTGATTTACTAGTGGTCACGAAAATAATACTTAAATCGAAAAATAAAAAATGTACTACAGCATCAATCTGATGAGGGATTCTTATCTCATATAACTGATTTACTAATAGTATCGAGGCTCTACTTATACACGAGAAATAAGTAATGTAGTCGATTTTTATAGCAAAAATACGTTTGCTTCATCGACAGTCATACCAAATAATGTGATAGGAGATAGGGCCTGGCGTTCCTTGAAATTAACATCTGTCATGTGACCCAAGGGCACTCGTGGCAATGTGGCCGAGTGGCTAATGTGTCAAGCTCACATGCTGCACTGTAACGGTTCGACTCTTACTGGGGATGTTAATAAAACCTATGAGAGGTCGAAACTGCAGTCCACCCTGGATGATAACCTATTTTGGAAAAGTAAGGCTATGTGAAATTCAGCTTAAACGTCAGTTTTACTCATTCCGTGTAAGGGAAAATTCTACTTCCACTCCCTCATCACCTTAAACGAAATATGGTGAATACAGCTCATATAATTATATATCTATCTATGTATAACGATTTTCGTTTTTTATAACCAGATGGTCTTCTTGACATAGTGTTAACGCAAGACTTTAATAAGAATGAGTTCCAGCTCTGTTGATTTCCATAGTGTGATGGACGAAATCTCAACCCGTTTTCACACGAAACTAATGGGGATGTCTCATTGGCGGCATCAGCCTGGACGTTGTATTGAAGATAAACCGCTGCAGTATAAAGGAAATCAGCTGTCGTTTTCTGATCAAATCGACCTTCGAATATCTTCTTCATGTCCTTTCATACAAAATAAAAGTCCTCCAAACATTTTTATCTCAGGATACTCATCGAAACCCAGTTACTCTTCGTATCTATAAGAAAGGAGTGATTTACTTTTATTTGTCTCGGATCATATCCTTACTAGATCTTGGCCATGTTTATCGTCAAAATGGCCAAAATTGGCTTCCTTATTAAAACCAGACCTCCATATTGGAGGCGTATTTGAAAGTGATCGATTCTATCGTTTTTAAAAAGAGGCTAACTTCTCTTTTCTGCGCCTTGCATGACACGTGCTTAATGGTGATTCGGCCTTATTTTACATACATATCGTGCCAGTATGGGCACTGTGGCTGGCCCATGTATACGGAATAATCATGAACACGACAGACTAGACTGGGCCTATGATTGTACCCACGATGCAATGAACCAGAAGATAAAAGATCTTGCTCGCGAATTTAATACCTCTTATTATAAGAAAAGCAAATTTGCCAGACCTAACAGCAAGCCTTTCATCCCACCTTCTCTGCGTCTCGTAGACCCGGAACCCTCACGTCCGACACATGACAGCCCAATACAACGAACCATCTGCCGAGAAGAACGACCCACAATGCAGTTATTCTTAAGAATTTTGGCTACTAGTGAACAGCGTGAGTTTAAGGCAAATGACATGAATAGACACGAGGTGGCCAGAAATGGCTTCAAAAACCGACCAAATAAGAGTCTCTTTACCATAGCAAAGGAGGTTGATAAGATTAACTCGTCCGGCCGGTTTGAAGTCAATAGACCCATAAACTGGGTAGATCTGGATTCGAACTTCCCAGCCACTATGAATATAGCTGATTTCCGCCCTTTGTCTGCTCCATTTGTACCTAACCTAATTAGGAAATTAGTTAATTCTATTGAAAGTTACTGCTACTCACACTCATGGAACATCGTGTACGCCACATTTTCGACCGATGTACGTCGAATGACTTGGAGTGTTCTCCGTCTGCTACTAAGAGAGTGGGACAATTTGGACGCCATGGATCTCCGGATACAGTCAATCACTCCTCAGCTGCGCTGTGCCGTACTTCGTCGTTTTTTAGGCTGCTTCAAAGTAAAACCACTTCACTTTTACAAAAAGACTCTGACTCAAATTGTCCAGCGTCCTCTTTTTGACCAGTTTCTAAGACCTAACCCTCAGATCAAGACGATCGTTCGGAACGCTGTATTGCCTACAAGTCGCACATGTTTGGACACATTAGCCTTTCTCATGATTCACCTACTACATGCCTGGGAGTACGCATCAAATCCTGTGACCACTAAGATAAGACTAGCAGAGATATATGGGCCACTAATTATAAGCTTTGCTGACAGGCCAACAATATTGGATAGGGACGTTTCTAGTAGTAAAACGGAGGAAGCTGCCATTCTTGAAGTAATTATGGACGTATGCGATAGCCACTTCTGGAATAACTTGAGTATGCTGAAAATCCGATTGGCATTCGATCATTTGACTGGAATAGAGCGCCGTCGTCATAAACAGCATTGCAAGAATATGCAAAATATTGGAAGAAAACTTAATGTGGGTAGATCAATCGAAAGGAACAGAGGCAGAGAAGGTGAAGAGGGAGAAACAGCTAGAGCAGAGAAGACAATTGGAAAGGCTTCAGGGATGGTACGTTCGATGAAAACAGATTACATTCATTCGAGTGAATCGACAGAGAAAGTGCCACAATTTGGGTCGGATGGTAGAGAATCGATGACAAGAAAGTATTCGGGAGAGCAAATAGGAAGAAAGACACAGAGCGAATTGACACTAGACGCTCTGAGTGACCACGTTGTCTCGCTTGAGTGGTAAGCTTGCATGTCAAACAATAGTAATCTATCCATCTAGTTTCACTAGGATTAAGAATTACTTTTAAGGCTTAAAGCATTCACCAGCTTAATTATCTATAATAAGTTTTAGTATTTGCTATTTTCCCCTTACTCCCTACAGTAAAAATAAAAAAAGGATGGAAAACTAGATATCCGACACTCTTGGGGAATTATTTTTACATACTCGGAGAACGGAAACCAAAATAAGAGGGAAAATATATTTCTTTTTAATGTGGATTAATCGGAACTATAAAATAATAAAGCAAGTGAAGTTAGTCTACTGTTTTCATATAAAACTCTCGGGCCACCAGAAATCAAGAACTTCAAACAAATCTCTTGGTTTGACAGAGTTATAAAGCACATAGATGAGTAATCTAAAAAAATATTTATGGGCGCAGAGTCGCATGCCATTCTTCATATAAATCAGTGAACATATAACTAGTTAGCTTCTATAGCATTCTTCGTTTAACATATGTTAAATGTACAGATGTAAATCCATTTATGGATAGCAAAGATGATGAATAATTGGGGAGACTTTTATTTCGTCTGAAAGTGCTTGAAGAAGAGTGAATACGGGCTGAGTTTTCGTAAATCATATGATGGACATCATCAGAGCTGGGTCTTATTCCTGTAAAAGTCTCACATTAACACTGGGTCAATAAGACTATCCGGCACTATCTTACCTTGTGTATATACTCATAACACTAGTCTTCTTTATGGAATATTAGGGAGGCCATTGGCATTCTTGGGGAAAAAATTAGTGAACAGGAGATTGGAAGAAGGCAGAGTTAGCGGTGACTTTGCCTATTGCATGATCAAACTCGGAGAAAACAAGGATACGACAAGACAGGCAAAAAGGAGACGCCTGGATCTAGGATGTATTGTAAACTAAAGATCTAGATATGAAGACCAAGATGTTGTGGCCTCTGGTATGGTCGCAGTCTCCTTTCGATTTATAGAAGTGGGTTGACCTCGTTGTCGCAACTTGGTCTTGTAGAACGCACCTAGTCCGAAGTCGTCTGCCATAGTAGTTGTCATGATTCCCAGCATCTGACAGTGG